TGAGAGAGAAGTGGGGGGGGGTGGAGATGGGGAGAGGAGGGGGCTTGAGAGAGAAGTGGGGGGGGGGAGGAGATACGAAGGGAGATGGGAGAGACGAAGGAGATATGTGAAAAGCTGGGAGATATGGGGGGGGGGGGGGGTGCGAGGGAGTGCTGGTAGTCCTGCGAGTGATGTAAGAGATGGAGATGGCAGTGATGTGAGTGAAGGGAGGGAGAGTGAAGAAGCGATGGAGAGAGTGATGGGAGGGGAGGGAGAGTGAGAGAGCGAGAGAGGAGAGCGCGGATGAATTCTTGGAAAGAAACTGGGTCCCGCAGCTGCGAGCACGCACACGTGCGCGCTCGCAGCTCGCGAACTGAACCCGTGGGAGCTCGGGTTCGAGTTGAACTCCTGACCCGGGCGCCGGTCACGGAATGAAGGGGCTTTGGGGAAATGAGTGGAAACATGATGTTACATTTTGAATTAATGATGCTTGCGGTCAGATCTATATATACACATACATATCTGTGTCCATGTGTGCAGCACGTATTCGTAGGAGAACATGATTTTACACGACCGCCGTTTTGAGAAGAGGTGATTGAAATTGGACGTGTATGTTGGCTTGAGTACTCGGGGCGTTGGTCAACATGGGTCGGTATGCAACAGTAAGCCATTCCCGACACTAATCAGAAGAGGTCCTATTACTATTCTATAGATCATAGGCTGCAGGACGATTACCTTTTCATGCAAGGACGTCGACAATTGCATTTCGACCACTGACTCGGTGTCTTACTATTCCACTCCAGAATCGATAGGGTTTTTTTTTACTTCGTGGTGAATGTAGCAGCCTCCAGTGGCTGGCTAGATCGGCCACCCGATTGCATACATTACAGGGACTCCTCTACTTACGAACGAGTTAGGTTACAGAGGTCTGTTCGTAAGTCGATTTGTTCGTAAGTCCATCTTTACCCCTGTCGATTCCAAACATGTTGTACGGCATGTACACTAAACACGGGCAACATGGCTTTTTAACGTTGTATAATCCCCTGCAGATGTAGATGCCACTGGTTCTTCACGTTCTGCAGATGTAGATGCCTCCACCGCCATCTATTGCGCAGCGGTTGAACTTACGACTCTCGGTCCGAACAGGTAACTTGGGCATACGGAGAGGTTAGTTGGTATCTCTGAAAGTTCGTAAGTAGGATGTTCGAAGAACATCGATTCTTACACTCGCGACGAATGCGTCGAAGACAGCGCGGTCAGAATGTTTCGAGAACGAGACTCGAAATATTGACAAACGACCTCAATACAATGCAATTTCATTTTACTGATCCCTGGAAAGCCTCGCCGAGTCTCGGGGAGGGTGCTGCCGCATTGTGATGTTTGGGCCGATCCCTTGGGGGAGGAAACCGGACAACCCTGAGTCCCAAACGGCGCGCATCCGCGGGGGGGGTGACACTCAAAACATTTGCGCTGCACAGACGGGTTCATGAATGCGCTTGTGTACCGCAGTCATTGCTGGCCAGGGTTTGGAAGTTTCGTCAATCTCTGCCTGATCCAGCAACCCTCACCAAGCACAAACAGCGTACGGTATTGGAACATCGGAATCAAGAATATGTATTTATACTGCAGGAGGAATCCGATGAGCTATAAAGCTCGTTATCACAGATGTCCAGTAGGGGCACGGGGTCAGAACGGTACAACAACAACAAACAATACAACAACACGATAGGAGTGCAAAGTCGAGGAATGGTAAACAAGTCACTTTAAAAATATATACAAATAAAACTCAACTATTTTGTATCTCACTAGGTAAAGCACACTGAGCAAGTAACTTATTTTTCAGAAGCGAGCTGGCCACAAATGTTCACCACAACAAAGTGGCCTATCACGTGGCAATTTAGAGCAGCACAATAATTGAGTCTAAAAAGTAAAGGTGCGGCCCTGCAATCGCCTGCTCAACGCCACGGAAGCGACCCTCCACAAGAGGGCAGCTCTGGAGATGCTGCTCTAGAGGTTATCTGAGCCACTCCACGCTCGCAGGAAGTCTTGCAAGAGAGTACCCACGGTTTACCCCACCGCACGCGACCTGCCTGCGTGTGTGGGTGGATTTAAGAAATGTTTCCATCGTATCAACTATCGCGCCGGGAGCTCAAATCTGTGCGGAGTAAAAACGCTTTATAGCTCATCGGATTCCTCCAGTACAAATAAATATTCCGATTCTGGATCGAACCGGCGACACCTCTTGGTTGCAATGCCCAATGTGATATCCATTACTCTACGGCAGCAAACCCCACGGCATTGCACCGCGCGTTAATGATATCGCCCTTGGGTGACTGCCGCATTTAAATGTAACGACTGCGGACAAACCTTCGGTTCAGACTTTCTGCATGAAGCGCACGTGCCGCGTGTGCCATTAAGCCACGAATATGCGCACGGGGTTCTAGGAAAATGATCGTCTCGCTTCTATTTATACACCGTAATTACCTACGCACGCGTGCCTGTCCCCCTGCATAACGTGGACCACCTGCAGCGGGGAGCGGGTCGGGTGGTGGTGGTGGGGCTCGACTCTGGGGAGGAGCCGGAGGGAGCAACGGGGAAGGAATCGAGGTGGGAGCAGGGATGAGGGGCGAGGTTCATGTGAGGAGAAGGATGACTCTCCCCGCGTCTCCTCCTCCTCCATGTGCAACTCTCACGCATAATTAAGGACGCGTTTCGCATAATTGGCGACCGCCCCCCACCCCCCCTCTGCGAAGCTGATGTTGATAACCTCTGTTGGCGCTACACCGACACCAGTGAAACCAGAGCCCGTTCCCATGAAACCAAACCAGCTCGACCCAGCCCGACCCAGCTCATTAAAGCTACAATTAATACACTTATAGTGCCTCACGTGCCACGTGCTGTGCACAAACAGGCAGCCCGGCTCATCGAGTGATCGAGCCATGTAAATGCTAACGATGTTTCTAGAAGGGGCAGAGAGAGCGCTTGTTATATCCTCCACCATCCGATCCCGCCAAACGACTTAAATTGGCATGTGCACAAGCGTTGAACGTACTCGGTTGCTGTTGTATCAGCTCACCCGTACGCTGGAGGACAATTCTCACAACTAAGCATAGCAATGAGATGCAGGTGATATAGTTTGCGTGTTAAAAGTCTGTACACGTGACGATGTAATTTGTTTGGCAGTGTCGGGTGGCGGAGGGGCTTAACGGCACACATTTGGTCGGCTCGTTATTTGGCCTCCACTCAAAACAATACGTGACGAAGCGTCATATCGGCTGCGAAGACCACGTGCGTTCAGCACTTTGGTGTGTGTGTGTGCATGCGTTTGTGGCTTTTCATGATCAAGTTCAATATTCTAAGAACAGGGTTGGTGGCGTAGGCAGTGATAACACTCGCGCCCATGCACTTTTGCATCGAGATTGAAAACTCGTTTATTATGAACCGATTTTTGTGTTTAATTTCTTGTCGTACACCCGCGCCTCCGATCAGCGCGGTTGGCTACGTACGGTGCGAAAGAAGCCTTTGTGTGTGCAGTGTGTATGGTTCTCTCTCCCCCTGGTCTCCGGTTTCCTCCCATACCTAAAACACCATGCGATGCAACTGGTATTGTCTAAATGCTGCAAAATGTACCCGCAAACGATTCAATTGGGACTCCACATCCAGCAGCAACATCGGCATCGCTCCCCTGTAAAAAAGAAATGGATTGAGCGAGGCATTCCTGGGTAACCAAACGGAATTTAAATGAATACACAACCAACCTCTCTTATCACCTTCCACGCACTGACACCATCGACTCGTCGCAGGATTTGCTGGAACCGAAGGCAAAACGATGAAGTTGTGAAATCCGATGGATACGTCGGTGCGTTGCGACCGAGACTCAAAGACTCTAGAACACAGGGACGTGCGGTCAGGTGAGGCAGAGCCTCGCCTGTCATACTCCAATGAAAACAGCTGTTACGAAAAGTAAAAAAAAGAATAATCAAATAAAATAAATACTAAGATTTTTCCACTCATCTGTGTTATAAATGTAATTTCTGTACGATTCCAATCATTTGTATAGTCAAAATCGCCAAATTTGCGGAGCTCCGCTGCAAATACAGGAAGAGACGAGAGGTGAGGCAGCGACGAGCTCAGCCTCCCCTCTGATTGCGCAACACCTCAGTAACTGGATGGAGCGCGGGCAATAAGCGCGTGCCTGTTACTATCTCAGTATGTCACCAATGTAATGTTTGTAGAGCCCTTCATTTCATGTCCTCGCCTTCCATACACCAGGTAACTTATGTCACGTATGTGTATTAAGATATTTAGGCTCGCTGGTCTCGTCATGAAACTGCAATGAAAAATCACCAGGGGAGGCAGCCATCACATCTGCCTCACTGAGGGGGGCGCGTTTTCGGCCACAACGCAAGCAGAGACAGCGTCCACCCCGACAGACCTGTTCTTCACCTGAGGACGGCTGCTTGCGTTGTGGCCGAAACGTCGTGAGAATAATTTAATGTTTAATTTTTATTATTTTATTATTTCCATTCTACGTGACTTTACCGAAAGAACCAAGAAGACGAATCCCTGCAGTCACGAAAGCTTTAAATCGAAATTTATACTCTTTAGTTATTTTAATTTTATTTTCACATTCGTGACTTTACCGAATGAACCAAAGAGTATGGATCCTTGCAGTCACGAAAACTTCAAATCTAGAACACCGTGAAACGTCAGAAACGCAACACATTAGTGAATATAAGACTATTAAATTAATATAAAAAAGACACACACAAAGACGATGTTTCTGGCCAACAGTCCTTCACAACAACATCGTAAAAAATCTGTGTAAAAAAGAGCTTTACAGCTCATCGGCTTTACAGCTAATCGATTGACACCTAAGGATCTCGCGCGCGCAGCAATGAAACCCAAGAATCGCGCCCCCTCCCCCGCACTCACCCCCCCCCCCGGGGAAACCAAGGACCAATGGGATCGCGCGACCTTGCCTCGCGCCTCCAGTGTCCTCGCCTCTCATTGGTTGCGAGTCGCCGCCGACGCCGATCCGACTTCCCCCCCCCCGCACGCGTTCTCGACGACCATGGCAGAGGAGGCTGTGGACGCGGTGGAGGCGGTGGTGGACATCGCCAAGCTCAAGGTGGCGCAGGGAGCACGACACAGAGACGCGTGGGGGCGGTGGGTTGGTGGGGTAGGAGACGCGCTACGGTGGGGAAGTCACGGGGGGTCCAGGGGCCGGGCCTTGTGGTGGTGGTGGTGGTGGCGGCCTAGCGAAGGCTGCGCTAGGCGAGGCGTTGGCTGGGACGCTTCGGGGCCGTCTGTTGAGTTCCGCGTCGTGCCGGCGACTCACGACTGCTCTGAGCGCCGTGGCCCCCCGCTGTCGTTTGGCCCCTCGTGGCGTGCGAGCGTCGGCCGCTCGAGAGAGCCACTGCCTGGGTCGAGGGCCTTGCCACGCCGGTCCGTGCGTCTGGCCACGATGCAGTGCATGTGAGGAAGGGCGGCCGCGTCCGTGCGTTTGTGGTGGTCACGCACGCACGCGGCTCGTGGTCAGGCTCGTGTCTCCTTCGCTGCAGGGGTTTAACGACGGCTTCTTGTTCACAGGCGTCAACTTGGGCCCTTGAGTCCTTTAGTGGCGCACACAGCATGGCATTCGCGTGTGTGCGCGGACTTGTACACACAGCAACGCACGCACAACGCCGCCACGCGAATTATTCAAACACTGATCACAACGCGTGTGCACTGTGGGGTTTTTGTTGTGGTCCAGGTCTCCCTTGACAAGACAAGTTATAGTCTCGGCAAGCAATAATCTGGTTGTGCGTGAATAGCTCATGGACGACTCATTGTCCGTTCAGAGGATGATTCCGATTAGGTCATAAAGTGGCTAGGAGATGTTAATACTCTTATGTTTTTTCTGTAAAGTCACGTAGGTAAAAAAATAATACAATTAAAGTTAATAAAAGTAATAATACAAAAATAAATCACGACGTTTCGGAGGCAACACAAGTCTCCGTCATCAGGTGGGATGGTCACAGCTAGATTTACTGACTTTACCGAAAACACCTAAGAGTATGAATCCTTGCAGTCACGAAAGCTTCAAATCTAGAATTAGGAGATATTAACTCCATCGCCTGGTATACAGGAGGTCGTGGGCTCGATTCATACCCTGACACCTGTATATTTTGAGTTTGCGTGTCTCTCTCCCCGTGGTAGAGTGAATTATTCTCCGGGTCCTCCGGTTTTTCCCGTATTTGGCGGCTGCTATACATTTCCACATGATAAGCCACTTCGTGAGCAGAGCTATATAGCCGAGTGGGCCTTACCTGGTAAAATTAGGAAGAAAAAACCCATAGCTTTAATCGTGAAATGCATACGCGTGAAATCGCGAAACCAATTGCCCAGGACACTGAACACGCTCTGTTCCGTTTGCGCTCGCAGCTGCCCGAGCTGCGCCAGGAGCTGTCGACGCGAGGGTTGGACACGAAGGGCAACAAGCAGGAGCTGCTCAAGCGCCTGCAGTCCTTCCTCCTGGAGCACGGTACAGCGGGGGCGCTAGTGCTCGTACTGCGCGACTGGAAACAGCGCGTAGTATGCGGCGGGGGGGGGGGGGGTTGCCTGATTTCTGCGACTTAGCAAAAAATGCAAAATTGTCGCCGCATTGGCAGAAGTGCACAAATAAACGCGAGTAAAATGCGAGACGTCTTGCGTCTCGCAGCTGCGATTAGCACGGTTGGCTACGTACGGTGCGAAATAAGTTGAACGTACCTTAATTTTGAACACTGCCAAGTTCTTGAGATAGTTTGCAGTTCCTTTGTACATCCACTGCTGGATGTTCCCCACCCCTTGTGAGACGTCGTGGAGGTGATGTCACCATACTTGTGATTTATATTGAGCAGTGGACCTCCTTCAGAGTGGAGTCGATTGCAGAGAGATTGTCTGACAGAGACACTGCACTTTACATTCTTACCTTAAGCACTTTGAAGTGAACACTTGAACAGTTTTAGCTTCAACAGATATTAGTCTTAATAGATTTTTTTTTGAGACCGCTAGCACCTCTTTATCCCATGTTTTGCACACTTGTCCATTCAGTGGATGCTTGTGGCGAGCGTGGAATTGATCTCACTGCTTCGTGTTACCAGGTGATGACGGTGTGGAAGAGGTGAATGAAGAGGAGGCATTGGGTGAAGAAACCGAGGTATTGACTCCATCACCACTGCGTTGTTTCTCGGCTCAACTTGCGATTGTCCACTGTGTACAACGTTATGAGCAACTGTTAAAGTAAGCTACATCCAAATAACACTGATCTCACAGGTCCGGGTAATTAAACTGATAGACTATACGCCCTCATAAACGTTTCATAACCATGATATTTCACCCTTGTGATGTCGCAGTGTGTAAGTTGCTGCACGTATTTGATTCTGTGCCAATGGGACTTCTGCTTTCTGTCTGTTGGTACAGGAGGAGCTATCTGAAGTAACAGAAGAGCCACCTGCTCCTCCAGAGCTGCCAAAACCGTACGAGAGCTTCCCTCACTCTGCCGCCACGTGCTTTGCACTTCAAATAGCTTGGTTTTTACTGCTTACTCGGTCGACAGTGTTAATGCATTGCCCTATCCTGTCCAGTGGTAACGTGAGGTCACAATAACTGTCATAAAGATGATCCAATATGAGCAAAACCGACATCTGGAGATGCAAACCAGTGCTAAAAGTAACTTTGCAAATATGAAAATGTTGTTGACCTCCTAGTTACTCTTCGGTTTCTGTGCTACTAATAAAACAGTTGAGGAAAGCATTTCAATAGCTATATACATGATTCTTGTTCTTTACATTTTGTTTGATTGCCACTGCTGTTGTCATAGAGTTGAGAAGCCAGCAGTAAAGAAGGTCCAGGACGTGGTGCTAACTTCAGAAGCAGAGGTAACTTTAAACATTTTTTTCCCCCTCTCAAAACAAATGTAAAAAAAATTTAAAGGCGCTATTTAGTTTAACGTGTGTTTGGTTCGCACATTTGTGTAAGGAAAGAAAACCTTGAAGAGCTGGTTATTATACATGCGTTTTACTTTAACGGTGGATTTATTGGTTTCACACTTTGTTTAAAACTGCGCTCTCAGCCTCGCGTGGTTTTATTTGATTTATTTTTAGCGGCTGCAGACCAGAGCGAAGCGTTTCAACGTGGAAATGAACGAGCAGGCCAAGAAGGCAGCCCGCGCAGCCCGGTGAGGTCCCGCAGCGTCCCAATCCACGTCGCTCATCATTGGCCCAATAAAGGAGCTTCCCAAGCCGTCGCTCACAGCCTCGTGATGCAACAATCTGTCCATGTCCCTGTGCACGAGCTGATTTTAATCACTTCACCTCCATCGCATATGTCCTCTCGGACGTGTACCCTGCTTTAGCTGTCACCGTCATGTCCCTACCATCGCCCGTTGTCCCTTGGATGCCACTGTGGCGAAAGTGTTAACTACCTCGCCTGGTCTCTACAGGAAGTCGTGGGTTCGATCCCTACCCTGACTCCTGTATATTTGGAGTTTGCATGTCTCTCTCCCCGTGGTCGCGTGGATTTTTCTCCGGTTCCTCTGGTTTTTCCCTCCACATTTAGAAACATGCGTTTATAAATATACACACACGATGATAAGCCACTTTGTTGAGCTATCATTTGTGGCCAGGTCACTTCTGAAAAAGACCTCTATAGCTCCGTGAGCCTTACCTGGTAAAATAAAAACAGTTTAGTAGTTTAGTTTAATGCCCTGCCCTAGCCCAATTACGTAACAGTCAGTGTGACCATACTTTTCTCCATGGCTTTGTTGTGCATTCTTCAAATTGTTCCATTTATTGGTGACTGACCAATATGCCATTTAACGTACCCCAATTCAAAATATCAGTGACATATCCATGACTGCAACTTCACAGTATTTTTTTCATGACTTAAGTTAATCGGACAGCCTGCGACACACGCTAGGTGTTTATCTACGAGAGAATATAATTTTTTGTGTAGTACCTCGCTTTAAAAGGTGCTGCTTTTTACAAGTGTGTGAACCTTGAATTAACACGGTTTTTTTTCCTGTTTCAGGTTTGGGATTGTAACCACCGAAACGAACAAAGCAGGTATTGATCCCATATCCTGAGTCTCCTCTATCCAATATGAAATACCCTATATGTAAACAGCTGTCATTGGCATCAGCCATGATACATCTACTGCTGGATGAAGGGCCTCCCATTGCTGTCAATATCTCTCGTGTTCTTATGATGATAAATCCGTCTAGCGCCTGAACACAGCCGATTTAATCGTTTCGTCACGAGCAGACATCTCCAGGGTGTCTCCTTCGGCTGCCATTCCATCATTAGTCTGCCAGTGGCCATCATCCCTTCCCACTATTTTTCTTAAGTCATTTTATGTTCTCTAATCTAATGTATGAACGTGTCTCATTCTCAGGTGTTGTTGGCGCTACCAAACTGCCGGTAGGTCTACAATGCTCGTCATTAATGGGAAAAACGTCTAAAACGTACATTGAAAGAAGAAAACAGTTTTACGTTTGATATTGTATTTCTAAGTTTTAATAACTCTTGCACACATTTGTCGTATTGTAATTATCTAAGTGAGTCACCGCATGACCTCTGTTCAGGTGGACACCACCAAGCTGCAGGAGCGTGCCAAGCGATTCGGCGTCAATGTCTCCACCGTGGCTCAAAAGGTTGGCTTTCACTTCGCGGTTTAAAATAGAAGATTCTTGAGTGCAGCATCCTCTCTTGATGTTGGGCTACGTGTCCACAGCGTATTCACAACCCGGGGGGAGTGGTGGCACATTGATGTGCACGTAGCACGATGAACTCGGCAACTTCGAAAATCCGAGTTTAATTCCCCACCATGGCTACCGCGAGTGGCGAGTATTTTCGGCTCTCCACCACACTTGACCAATCTACAGTTACCAGCCTGTTAAAGTGTGGTCAGACAACCCCCATAACTGTGATGGTGTGGGGATGCTGTCACCCACCATGATTTGACAAAGGCTTGGGAGAGTGTTTAAAGTGAAGCACATTCAACTGAAAGCCTCGGATTGATAAATCAGTTGCTGATGGTGCAATAGGCCCCAGCTTCAAAAAGAGCCTCTTGAGAAGTAATCTTCGATCGAAGTGCCATGTCTCCTTCACGATTTCTCTCGCTCTCCCTCGGTGGAATACAACTTTCCTTCGTTTAAAGCAGCGCTGGGTTGAGGTATAGCCACCTCGGACGCGATCTTCGTTGTTGCTGCCTGCCCAGGGGGTGATGGCTAGCCGCAGGCTGCCGCCACGCCAGATGAATATGTTCACACCATCGGGCCACATAACAGCCCCGTAGGCTAATGGAGCAGATGCCCTCTGACCCCGGCTAATTGGAACCAGGCCGCGCGCATTGGGATCATTTTTAATGATCGTGGGGAGTTGGGGTGGGAGGGTCAGAGGAGTCAGTGGATGGAACATTCTTGCAGAGGAAGCCGAACTAGTAAACTATATTGGTAATGTGTTCTTTGAGCCGCTGCCAGGTTTACTATAATTGTAGAATGCAACCAACTTGTGTACGTTTTCGAGCTCAACTTACCGGGTAAATAGATTCACATTTCCCCCCCTTCCAAATGTAACCCCGCAAAAATAGAATGCTTACTGTTGAAATTATGAGAATACCAAATGCGTTTGCAAAAAAACTTGTTTTTAAAATAGTTGGGCTCTTTTTGAACATTCTTTCCGTTGGGCTTGTTTTTAGGCGTGCGCGTGCGATAGATCGCTCGCTGCATCGTGTTTCTTGTCCGTGCTGTCGCCAGCGACACGACACTTCGCGTGTGTGTATATGCGCGCGCGCGTCCCTTCCGCAGATTGAGGTGGAGGGGAAACTCAAGAAGAGAAAGGAACGGTTTGGGGTGGTGACTGCAGCTGCGGCTGTCGCTACCGAAGACACGGAGGTGGGTGACGTGGCCTTTTCATCATTATTATAATGCTCGTTTACCCAGGAAAACCTCGCTGAGTCTCATGACACCTTTTTATGGAGGGTCCTGCCAAGTTTTCGCAGTTTCGGCCGATGCTTATTTTGTAGATTGCAATTCAGTAATTTGTGGGTAATTTTTCAAATCTGGAAAGATTGGATCATGACGCTGGCACACCATGGCCTACGCTTGTGAATGACTTCAGGGGATCATGAACATCCTCTGTGAAAGAGACGCCCGCAGTATTGACCAGGGCGGACGCCGGATTTTAACCGTGGTACTTAATCACACTCGTTACATGGCCATTTAATGTCACTCTTGTGCCTTGGTTTATCGGAGCAGTAATATTTGAGAAAAGGGTGATGGTGATATTTTGAATTTGTGTAGCATTTCAATCCACATTCAACTTTAGGTACTTCGTGTAATGACCTGCATAACCGAAACCCAAATGAAAAATACACATTCAAATTTAAATTTAACAGCAATAGCAACAAAAACAGGAGTTGGGCAGATCGAGCGGTGGTGTGAGATAGCGTGCACGAAGCCATCACAAGCGCCACAACTCCTGCTCTGATGGTGGTGGTGGTGTTTGGTAAGGGATATTTGTTTTTTTTTGGTTGTGTTTCATTAAGAAGGGTCATCCCCTGCACAGCTCTTGCACACGAAACACCCCCGTAAGAAGGAATCGGGTAAACATCCCAATATAGCAGGACCCTCATGGAAAAGCCTTGAGACTCAGTGAGGTTTTCATGAACAAGCAATTATATTATTAGAATGATTACATGGACTAGAGGTATATTCTGAAGACTTGCATTGCATCCTTAGTCACCTAAGGATGCAATGCATCCTTAGGTGACTAAGATTCATCTGAACCCCATCTCCGTAGCTCGTGTGCTGTGTTCGTGTCAACCTTTTTGGCTCTGTAAATACGAGTCGTGTAAAGCACTCTCCATACTGTGCCTTGAGTGAATCGCTGTGCAGTGGCTTCCAGCCAATGTTCTTGTAACTGAACGTCACTCAATTCCTCCACCCATGCTGAAGACTCGGGTCTACCAGGATAACTGTTTCAACTCATCCCCACTGCTACCCCGCTGCAGGACAAAACACACATCTTTTTGCGCTGCTTAAATTTGGAATTCTCTCCCATTGTCTCTTTTCCCAAGTTCATTATAACCTTGCTCTCAAGCAAATTAACAATTTGTATCCATTACACCTGCAAGTTGGTTCTGTTTGTTACTGAACGCTTGGCATGTTGGGACCTTTGGCACTGTGCTCATAAATTGTGATGCAAAAATACAAACCTCTTGTCTTCAGGTGGAATATTTCTTACCTTATTACCAATAAAGGGTATTGAGGCCATAAGTATTTTGCAAAGGAAATGTCTATTTAAATTGTATTTGTGAGTGCCATGTGGATCGTCGTGGTAATGCTCACTCGTATTGTAAAGTAACCGAAACGCTGGCTTTCTGCGTCTTTTCGTTTTTGCAGATCAAGAAGCTGAAAAGAGCGGAGCGTTTTGGCATTGCATAAACCAGCATTATTTTTATTGTTCCGGTTTTATATTCTCTCCCTCAAGGCAAACGAGTCGAGTCTTGGTTTGTGGATCGTGATTTTGTTTGCCTAATACAACCAATTCGTATTCACTGGCACGCATTCTTCTGTGCGCTGCCTTGTACACACACAAAGCATTCGTCGTCCGAGCAGCGACTGGGAAACGTTACACTATCACATTTGTACGTGGGGGTGTGTGTGTTGTGTGTCTGCGGGCGGGCGGGGGGGGGGGTGTTCACTAGCAATGTAATGCGTGCCCACGTGGAATTGTTAACGAGCAGAGTTTGACAGGAAGGAAACAGCTTGACACTTGGGGCTTTCCATTCATAGGCAGGGGAAATTAATCAACTCGACGAAATTGTCAAGGTGGTCTCCAGGGAAAACTTGATAACCCACATTTGTTTAACTATACAACCCCGAGGAAAGCTTCACAATTAATCAGATCGTTATTGTATAATCTTGGCTGAGATCGCCAGTTAAATTTATAATTCAATATGCCTACCTCCAACAAAAGCCTACTCTTTGTAAAGTGTAATTTTGTGGGTTATCAAGAACCCTCGAGGAAACCCCCTCCACAATTATACTGCTTGAAATAAGTTTGCATTTATGTCAGTAAAATGTATCACATATTTTAGTTCTATATAGTTGTGCAAGTATCCTGATAATTGAGTTTTTAAAAAGTAGGTGTATTTTTTATCAGTCCGATCACTGCTCGAATTAAGAGTGAAAACGCGGTCTTATTTGAATCCACATTGTCCACCCACGTGTATGACATGGCGTGTCATCGTTTACCTCGTCTTACCACGCAGCTGACGCGACAACTCTTTTGTTTTGTATCGTTTCCAAAGGTGGCGATTGATAAATAAACATTTTTTTAAAAAATAAATTGACTGCGGATGAAACGGAACCGAGTGCTTGGATTTTGTTGATGTTGCACCTGTAAAGTGCAACACCTTTGTTGGATGAGGGTCACCCTTGTAGATGAGGGTGCACTGCTATCTCGAGTTGTGAAGGTTGAAGAAAATCAACTTGAATTCACTGCTGGATGAGCGAGGGCCAAACTTCACGTGGTTGCCGGGCGTGTCAGTTATTTGACCACAACCACTACGCTGGTTAGTGAAGGCGGGGAGCATAGATGGGGCGGAGTGGGTGGGGAAGTACAGTACAACGCATAATGTTGCATTACCCCCGGTTGCCCATCACGTGATAGTCGCCCGTCCAAGCACTTTCAAGGCTACAACGTTCTGATTCGCTTCCCGAGTTCTGGCGCATTGTGGCGGTCAGCCATGATCAATCGACTGTGAAGGCATATACCATTACCCGCGGTTCACGACTTAAGTGACGGTGACATCACCACGGCGCCTGTGCCAGGCCACTGCAGACATGTCCACGGGACAGGACCCAAGGTTGCCATGAGTTGGCTGAGATGACTGGCAGATGGTACCAGCTCTACCCCCTACTGTGCCAACTTTGCTGCACTTTAGCCACCTCCGCTCGTTGTTGTGAGCGTTGCTCCTTTGCCTTCGGTCGTTGTTGGAGGGCGAATGCCTATAAATTGCTGAGTAACGTCCTTCACGAGCCTCCTCTACAGAGGCCGATCTTGATACCACTGGTTACCAACGTCTTCGGCAAGTCCACTCAGCTCCACATCCTCCCGTACCGCGTCAGTCAGTCTCTCGTCCACAGCAGCACCCACACGCGAGCCGATTTCACCCGCTCCGTCTCTCCCCCCCCCCCCCCTATGAGAAGTTCCGTGTGCCAGTGAAGTCCCAGTGTGCCACCCCAACACGTGTGTCACCCCAACACGTGTGCCACCCCAACAAGCGTGCCACCCACCACAACACGCGTGCCACCCTAACACGTGTTGCACCCTAACACGCGTGCCACCCTAACACGTGTGCCACCGCAACACGCGTGCCACCCACCCCAACACGCGTGCCACCCACCCCAACAAGCGTGCCACCCACCACAACACGCGTGCCACCACAACACGTGCTGCACCCCAACACGCGTGCCACCGCTCGACCCACCCACCCCCACCACTCACCGCAGGGGCGCGCGCGCGCTTGCTCCTCGCGCCGCCTTCCCATTGGCCGCCGGCCTCCTCGCCGCTACGACCAATGGGCGAGCGCCCGTCGCGGCGGTGGGGGGGGAGGGGCGGGGCTGCAGGAGGTGGGGGGAGGGGTGCGGCGGGGGGATTCGTGAAGGGCGACAATGGAGAGCCGGGCCGGGGACGCGAACCGGGACGCGAGAGATCTGGGGTCGTCACGGCCCCCCACCGTGCTGGAACGATACTTCACCCGCTATTACAAGACAGGTACCCCCCCCCCCACATCCTCTCTTTGGCGGGGGGGGGGGGAGAGCCGGGCCTTGAGAGGCTTGTGCAGGGGGTGTGGGTTGGCGATGTCCCGCCCGCCTGCCCGACCGGCCCACGTGCGTTTGTTTACCGCGACGCAGGCGCCGCTGTGCGCGGGTCAAAACGGGCCCTGGTCAATCCACTGCTGGATGAAGGCCTCCCCACCCCCAACCCCGGCCGCCGCCGACATCTACCGCGGCCTCCTTGCCGCACGAAGGCGATATCCCGTCCTCTCGGGCCTACTCCTCGCAGCCCACACACCCCCCTTGTAGCCTGCCACTCCGCCCTGTCAGCGCGTGACCATCGCGGGCTCCACGCAGCCACCACCTGCCCCCCCCCCCACGTGGCGCGCACGTGGCGGCGGCCGCCGCGGGGCTCTACGAAGCCGCGCCGCGGGATTCTCGGTGTCGTGGCCTGCGGGCGGTGCTGGGCGTGAAACGTCGCTGGGGTGGCCCCCTGATGGCAGAGGTCGCAAACGGGTTTTGATTCCTTACCCGTACCCGGCCGCACCAGCGTCGCAAACGGGTAGCCGGGTATCGGGTAGGGTACGGGTATCGGGTACCCGGTTGTGACCTCTGCCTGATGGGCTTGTAGGGAGGCAGCCGCGTTCGTCTGTGGATTTGACCGTGCGGTTGTCTGTGGGGATGAACTGCTGGCATGTGAATGTAACACGTAGCAGGCTTTCGCGATCAATATTATTCATAATATAGGTTTTTTGGGTCGGATCGCGTTATTTATAAATGTGTCGTAACCCTCCACCACCCGACACGGCCAAACAGTAAAAAAAGTGTCACGTTTTTTTAAAGGACTAAATAATTCACTTATTTAGCCCACCGGTGTGTTAAAGAGAGAATCAACAGCATTTTAAAATTTGAGTAGTACGACGTTTCGCTGGTAATTACAATCAGCTTCATCGGGCAAGAATGGTGAAGCTCTCCTGTTGCTCCCGGTCTTAAATAGAGCAGCATCAGGGTAATCATTCAATTGTTATTCATTGGTATTTGTTTCCCTTATAAGGAATTGTATTTATTTAATACTACGCTGGCATGTGATTATTTTTTTAAACCCACTGCAACAGGATCACCTTCCATAATTCAGGGTTTTTTTTATTTGGGTGTTAGATCGCGTAAAAAAAATAATGTGTCGTTAAACCCGCCACCACCCGACACCGCCAATTAGTAAGGTTTCGTGTCACCTAAACAGAACGTGGCCAATTCGTCACTCGTACAGCAGCAACACCGGTGTGTTGCAAAGCCAAGCCAATCTGAGTACGACGTTTCACCGGTAATTACAACTGGCTCCATCAGGCAGATTTGTGCAGAAGTCCACCTATTTCGTTCCTTAACCAGAGGCGTAGTAGACGTACTGCATCATTGAGGTGGTAATCAACGCACATTGTGATGCATGCGCATTATGGGAGCCCAATCATCTTGCTTGGAGGCGATCTCCATCGGATCTGGGAAGCTCAGCGGGATTGAGCCTAGGGGTTCAGTTATTTTTGACGGGAGTCTGCCGTGGAATTCCACGCGTTTGTAGGATTGGGTTTAGGGGGTTGGCGGTACAGCGATGATGGATTTCACGAATCCACGCTTCGTGTGCATGGTGGGGTCGGGTTCTCAGGTTTCTTCCCCACGTGAAGCCCAACGCGCAGAGTAAACTCATAGGCTGCCAAACCCACACGGTTTAACCCGTGTTCTTGTACAGGGAGTTTCCAGGTTCATACGGAGTACAGCCGTTTCAATACGGGCACATAATTTAGTTTGTCTATTTGTGTTTGTGCCTTGTGATTGGACTTTGTAGGATGAACGTTGAGATTTATAAGGGTACGGGGTGACCCATAAGGTCTGAATTGGTCTGTAATAAGGTCGGCACTGATAAGGGGTTGCCAGGTATGTGAACCGCATTCGCCAAATTTGTAAAACTCTTAAATCCCCCGATCTGCGAGTCTGTAGAGCAAGTGACGGTTCTTGAATCTATCTGTGCAGAGTTGCATTGGATTTTCTTTAGGTACCATGGTGCTGCGGTAGCGAGATGTTAACTACTTCGCTTGGTATGCAGGAGGTCGTAGATTCGATCCAGACCCTGGCGCCTGCTGTATATTTGGAGTTTGCGTGTCTCCCCGTGGTCACGTGGAGTTATCTCCGGGTCCTCCGGTTTTTCCCCTCACATTTAAAATCAACATCACGCATTTAGAGTATTTGGTTGCCATTTCCACGTGATAAGCCACTTTGTTGAGATATCATTTGTGGCGAGGTCGCTTCTGATAAAGTGCTCCATAGCTCAGTGGGACTTACCTGGTAAAATAAAAATAGTTTAGTTTACCTCTGGGTACCTCCCATTACTGCCGTGAGCCATGAAACGATTCATGTCCCCCACCACGTGATTCAAGGGATCGTCACAATTCGGTGGGCGCGATTCAATTCAAGATGTGATTCTCCATCTTTTGTGATTGTAGGATCTCCCTCTCTCGTGGCTCCAGGGTTTCATGTGAACCAGTCGCAGCGTGTGCGAATCGAAAATAATCTTTGGTTCTTTCGGTAATGTCACGTAGGTAGAAAAATAATAGATCACGACGTTTCGATCGCAATACAAGCAATCGTCATCAGGTGGGTCAACCAGCGCAAGAAAAACCTGCTGAACTAGTTGTGGTTGTCCCACCTGATGACGATTGCTTGTGTTGCGATTGAAACGTCGTGATCTATTTTTCTACTTGCGTGACTTTACCGAAAGAACCAAAGAGTATGGACTCCTGCAGTCACGAAAGCTTCAAATCAAGATCGAAAATAATCTATTAACGATGCATGCACGTATCGTGATCATGATAATTGATCTTGATCAATGGCATGCAGGGTTACATCACGTTCTGACCCACCTCTGTTTGACATCTGTGAAAAAGATCTTTATAGCTCATCAGATTCCTCCAGTACAAATAAATATCCTGATCAGCCATGATCTATCAACGGTTGGATAAAGGCCTTCCCTAGCCGTCACGGTTTGTCACGGTCCTGCATTGAACACACGAGCTGGTTTGCATTGCTGAGTTTCCCCAATCTACGTATCCTCAGGCGTGTTCACTCCATTGGCTGCTACTCCGCCGTCATTAGTCTCGACCACAACGGTCAATATGATGCCGCTAACTGGCATATGCCCTCTGATCCACGTGTTCCTCTCTCGGTGTCGTTCCCCGAATGCCCTTCTCCGCGCTTCTTTGTGCACTTTTGAACATTTTTGCTCCACGTTTGTGTTTTGAAAGGTCATGCAGCTCATTGACCTTGCAGACCAATGTTATCCCCGCAGGCTTTGCCTAAACAAGCAAACTCTGGGCTGCTTTTCCACCTTCTGGGTCTCATCAGCATAGACAGGCCTGTTAAACAAACGCTGCCCTGTTGCCAGATGTTATGAGCGAGAGCACTCCCTCTTCCCAGTGGATGGGGGAGGAGGGGTCCCTCCTACAGGTGCCGTCCTGCCCCTCGGCAGCGACTCGGACGAGTTCGCTCAGAAACCCCGCGGGAGACACCGGGCGCCCTAAACGCTCCCTTATTTACAGAAATCATAGCTCGTCCTCCACCCTCCCATTATACGTGTGCCTCTGGTGTTGGTGTTGGAGGGGAGCGGTGGTGGAGGGAGCGGTGGTGGTCATATCGGCAGGCGGTGACGATGGGATGGCGGCTTCGGCAAGGTGGCGACCACCGGTCGCGGTTGTGACGGTGGCATCGGCAGTCCGTGGCGGCGGTGGCAGTTAAACTCCATTATTGTCGAGCAGGTCCCGGGGAAATGGAGGCACAGGAAGGAGCGGCCGATGGCTTGGGGGGGCCCCCGAGGTTGAATGAAGTCATTTAACGAGGGGTCGGGACGGTGCAGCTTCGCAGGTCACTGTTGACATTTTTTATGGCCGCGAGTAGAGACCCCTGGCCCGAGGATTTACTGTTGTTAGCATTCCTGCCGGAGAGAGAGGCAGGCCTCCTCTCTCGGAGCGGGCGGGCGGGCACCGACGCCGTCGCCGCTTCCTCCATCCACGCTCGCTCCTCGGCCGCCACAAAATGCTGATTAAGGCTCCGGCGGGCGCTGGCGCCAGGAGAAATTCTTCGGCGCAATCTGCTTGACTGAGGCTCGCACATCTACAGTAAATCCAAAATTGATGTTGAAAGCCGAAGCCCATTCCCATTATTATTTCTGTTTGGTTTTAATTAAGGGCTACAGTTGCTGGTTTATGGCCAGTGGCTTGGCTTTACAGCCCTGCAGTTGCCAGTGCCCTGTTTAATGACATTGTACATACTGACTTTTTGACCTTTCCAACATCGGCAAAGTACTAATTGTGAGACCTTTTTAAAAGAATATAAAGAGCCCGTGCAAATGTTTACGTTCCGAGGGTGAGAGTATTTTATTTTAAATGATTGATTGATTTTTTTTGCACGCTGCCCCCCCCCCACCGCACCCCCCCCCCGCCCTGCGAACGCCGTCCGAGGGCTGCTGCGCTCGACGCCCCGTGCTGTCGTGTCGTCGTGTCCTCGCCGCCTTGTCAGGACTAACGTTGCTGCGGTCGGTGTCGAATGACAAAACTAATTAACGGTGTGCTGCGTGCGGTGTGCTGCGTGCTGTGTGCGCTGCGTGCATGCTGCATGCGTGCGTTTGTGCTGTGCGTGCAGATATGAAAGGCAAGGCTTGCGAAGACCACTGCGTCCTGCAGCACTCCAACAGGCAAGCGGCGCACCACCCGCCCACGCGGCACGCCGTTCACGCGAGCCCGCTTGTCGCCAATTAACGAATCGACTCGTTAACCCTCGTTTGGCTCATTCCGCGATGGCGCACGACCCTCGTGGGTGCCCGGGCCCCGTCCGATGGGAAAAGTGGCCGGAGCCTGATTGATGGAAATGACGCGGAGCAATTTGCGCCGATCGTCATTCACAATTAATTAACATTCAGCTGAAGGGTAAACGAGCAGACGAGCCATTAAAAATCACCGAACTGCTGTGGTGGCCAGGTGGCTCGGGTTAGAGGGGGGGCGGGCGGATCGTGGTTTGGAGGGGCCTCATGAGGGCCATGTTAAGGGACTGAACCAGCACCACTGGGACCTGAGTTCGAATCCGGGTTGTGGCTGTCTGTGATTGCTTGGCAACCGAACCGATTTAAGCTGCCACTTTTTTAAAGCCCCTTTTACCGCACTACGAGGTCGACAGCGAACAACATTCAGCAATTTTACGCCCTCGTAATCGGTACGTGGCAATTGGCGTTTTAACAACGGCAGCCGACGGCTGCAGCCAGTAGGGTCGGAAACTGTGAGACCGGGTTCTCAGGTGCCAGCCCTGCTCCCTGGACAATGACCTTTTGTGGCTTATCCAGTTTTTCCATTACACGCTCTTCGGCCGGAATATAATTGCGAGTGGGGGGAAATGGCAAAAATATATAAATCTCGAGCTCCAACCTCTCTGGCCCTGGGTGACTGTTGGTCTTGGCTCTGTTGAAGGTCCTGTTCTGCGATGCAGATGTTTGGCGGCTGCTGCTGCTGCTAGCCCTACTGCTGCTGCTGGCGCGGTTACGAGGCGTGAAACATGCGAAGCGTGTCACCTGCAGATTTTCACCCCCCCAAACCCCTCCCCCCGCGTTCCGCGCTCTGCGTTCGCTGCGGCTGAAAGGCACCGCGTGATTGACCGGCGTTTCTCCATTCCAGGCCCATGCCACCCCACCCCTCCCACCCCCTCCCCATCACAATCTTTTTCGGAGCGCAACTCCAAAGGCCCAAAACACTGAATGGCCAATGTTGCTTAACGTGGCACTCATCTCCTGTTCACAGTTGTGAGCGAGTGGTGGATGTTACGAGAGTGAGTGAGCGTTTGGGTCGCTATAGGAAGTTGAAAAAGAGACGATGGGAGGGAATTTAACAGTTTAGGGGCGCTCGAAAAGTGTCGCAACCTGCGCTGCGATGGTCCATTACAGCGTGGAAGTGCGCTAGTTAGGGCCACTGCACACTGCATGCACCTGATAGTTTGGAACACTGGAGTTGATCAACTCTGGTGTCGGGACAGCTGCCTGAGCCCGCTTGCTGTGACCGCCGCACGTGCGTGCGTGCATCCGAGAGCCCATGCGTGCATGCATACCATGCCTGTGTGTGTGCGCGCAAGTTTGCATGCGAGTGGAACCGTCGGCAAGTTACTCTGTCCACCGTGACCACTTGCGCTCACCGTGAACAAACGTTCGTGAAGTGGTACGAGTATTTGGGAATATTCCGGTGGAGCGGTGTTGCCCTTTCAAATATTTGTACCTCCTGAGTATTGGTTCTTAAGGGGCGGGGTGGGAATGAATATTCGTGCCTACGAGAGCAAATATTTTTTTGGGCGGGGGGGGGGTACAATCTCTAATGCCCAGGTTAGCGCCAAGGGACAGTGATTGTGTGGTTGTGTTGGCGGTCAACACTTCACACCTGCGTGCTCCCTCATCACGCCACCTTGCCGTTAGATAAGCACCACGGCTAATCGTTACGCAAATATTTATTCTGCTATCTTGCCCTCACCCCCCCCCCCCCCCCCAAAAGCATGTCGGTTTCTTTTTTAGCTCAACGGCGCCAACACGATCGCGCGCTATCGCCGAAACGCGTCGACGGAGCGCGCGTGTGCGCGTCTATTTCCGTCGCGATCTATTTAAGGTCGCGCGTGACGCTGAGGCTACTCGGGTTTAAAAAAAAAAAAATCGGGCGGCTGCAGGTAACGTAAGCAGGGGGTCACGGAGCAGGTAAGCGGACACCTGGGCCGGACTGCGAGGGGCTGGGTGGTGCCGCCACAGTGACGGGGAGAGAGGGGGGGGGTAGAGAGCGCGCGTTGTTGCAGGCACGCTGCGCTATTTATATTGATTCGGGTTACACTGTTTGCAAAGCTTTCACTCGCGCTTATATCTTGTTAACATTCCTGTGCTGAGTCCCCTGGACTTGTCAGGGCTGGATTATACGCAGCAGCAGCAGCCAAAGCAGCAGCGGCTTTTCAGCGGAGGGGTTGCGTGGGGAGCAAGGGTGGAGGATGGAGGAGGAGGAGGAGGGTGGGGAGAGGGGTTCTTTGTTTTGGCAGGTTTTTATTTGGGTAAAAAAAAACGGCACACACGCACACACTTAGCGCACGCACAGAGATGGCCCAGAAAATCTGCAGGCTCGTTAAAGAGCCTTTGTTTCCGTGTGCGATGCAGCGGGGGACCCCGTTGCATTAATGAGAACCCCCTTGAACGACGCATGGGGGGGTCCTCATTTCCGCCTTTGTTTCACCACCGTCCCAAAACACAAACAGCTTAATTAAGTGGTGTTTTGTCCAGCGAGCGCTGCTTGCGAACGTCGATCATCATCATTATTATTATTTTTCCTAACATAAACTTTTTCAGCGAGGCGATGACATCGCCCAGGCCGCAAGGGGTCCCTGAACGAAAAAATGCGTGCGTTGGGTTTATTTAAAATTACGGCTGTCAAGGGGGGGCCGCGGGGGGGGGGGGGGCAGGGGCTGTATTCGGAGCCGCAGCAGGTGACGGGCAACATTCCCACAAAGGACACATTTTTCCCAAATAAACCCGTGCAGCTGGGGGTTTAATTCGACACCTGTAGGATGTCAAAATGCTGCCTCAGCTGTTTGTGGAGCCGGGGAGTGCGAGTTGACGAGCGTGGGCCTGGAGCCCCCCCTCCCCGCCGCACCAACCGCTCCCCCAAACCCCTCGCCCGCTCATCCCCATCGCCATCTCAACCCCATCGCCCGCTCAACCCCATCATTGCCGCGGTCTCTCCGTCCCCCCCCGCCCACCCGCCACCCCACGCCCTCTGCAGCTGCAGGCTGCCGATGACTGCCCCGTCCATCCCCCCCCCCACCCACCCCGTGACCTCTGTGAGAGCGGCCGCCCGAGAGGTCGCCCGCCTTTTGGCTCGTCAGCACGGCCTCCGCCGCGTCTTTGACAGGGGCCCGGGCAGCACGGTGGTGGGTGGGTGGGTGGGTGGGTGGGTGGGTGGGTGGGTGGGTGGGTGGGTGGGGGGGTGGGTGGGTGGGGGGGTGGGTGGGTGGGGGGGTGGGTGGGTGGGTGGGTGGGTGGGGGGGTGGGTGGGTGGTGGGGGGGTGGGGGGGTGGGTGGAGGGGTGGGTGGGGGGGTGGGTGGGTGGGTGGGGAGGTTGGTGGGTGGGTGGGGAGGGTAGTGGGTGGGTGGGTGGGTGGGGAGGGTGGTGGGTGGGTGGGGAGGGTGGTGGGTGGGTGGGTGGGGATGGTGGTGGGTGGGTGGGTGGGGATGGTGGTGGGTGGGTGGGGAGGTTGGTGGGTGGGTGGGTGGGGAGGTTGGTGGGTGGGTGGGTGGGGAGGTTGGTGGGTGGGTGGGGAGGGTGGTGGGTGGGTGGGTGGGGAGGGTGGTGGGTGGGTGGGGAGGGTGGTGGGTTGGGGAGGGTGGTGGGTTGGGGAGGGTGGTGGGTGGGTGGGTGGGGGGTGGGTGGGGAGGTGGGTGGGTAGATTTGTGGGGAGGTGGGTGGGTAGATTTGTGGGGAGGTGGGTGGGTAGGTTTGTGGGGAGGTTGATGGGTAGGTGGGTGGAGAGGTTGGTGGTTGGGGAGGTTGGTGGGTGGGGAGGGACACGCTCTCTCTCTGCCGCCCGGCTCCCACCCGGGCCCTCCCCCGTCACCCTGAACCCCTTCCAGTGACTCTCCTCCTCCCGTGGTTCGACTCCCCCGTTCTGATCCCTACTCTGCTCCCCCTCTCGCTCACCATCATCTTCCCTCTCTGCTCCCCCTCTGCTTCTTGAGCGACCTCCGTAAGAGGGCAGCACTTTCCCCACCCGCTCTGCGTGCGAGAGTAACGTTTGTGGCGTGACGTTCAGAGATGGAAGAGAGCCAAATGAAGCGCAGAACGAAATGTGAATGCGTAGATTTTTTGTTGCACGGTCATCGGTGACCGGACTGAGATCGTCAACTCGCGGCGCACTCAAATCCGGTTCAATCGCATCCGCCTGCCAGGATTCGAACCCAGGGCCTCGGCCGTGACAGCTCGGATCTCTGACCTCTGAGCCAGTTGGGGCGACCTCTGTCTGCTAACGCTCACCAGAGCGGCGGAGTTTGATAATACAGCGCCGCCATTGTGTGCGTGGGCGCCTGAGCATTGTGTTTTTATTTAATCTCTGGTCGTATTGGGGGGAGGGGGGGGATGGTGGTTGAAGGGTTGTGTTGGTGGAGGGGAGTTTGGTGGTTGGGTGGTTGGGGAGTTTGGGGTGGTTGTTGGTGGGGGGGGTGGTACGTGGTGGTTAGGGATGGTCGTGGTGGATGGGGAGGGGTTGTGGTGAATGGTGTGGTTCGGGTGGTGTGATCTCTCCGCTGCTGGATGACGGCTGTAAAGGGATGATGGGGAAGATGCTGGCAGCAATAAGACAGATTACGTAGTGAGCAATTCCACCGCTGCGGAGATGGAGCGATGAGATCGGCTCGTTCGCACGATCCCAGGTCGTGGGGGTTCATAACGTGCGTTCGTCTCCCGTTTGTGTGTGTGTGTATCAAATCGGGCGTCTGTCATGAATGTCCATATTGTCTAAATTACGCGTGCTTAGCTTGTGTATCCTGAAAGTCGGCATGTAGGAATGCACGTTTGGATGAGTGAATGTCAATATTCACACGTGTGTACGTGTGTACGTGTGTGCGGGCTTGAACTCGTGTTTGTCATGAACATCCGTGCGTGTGTTTGCATGCTCGTCGCTCCGTAGCCGTCC